ACCGACAAACTAGTAATTTTTCCAGAAAGGATCGATCCCTTAGGGGAAATGATTGATCCCTTACCAAAAAGGATCGATCCCAAACTCTTTGTTGTGCAATGGGTCGATCCCTTTTGAAAAGGATTGATCTATCGGGAGAAATGATCGATCCCTTCGTTGTTTTGCCGATGTGAAAAGATGAAAATTTATTCAGTAGAGGTCTAAAGTGTTATGAAATGTTGTCTTGATCTCAACATGTTTGAATGAGTTCAGTTTGGTCCATTAATTGATTTACCCAATTACTTAAACCCTAAATCCAAAAACTAATGATAATGATCAAACTCAACTAAAAACGCTTTGAAATAAAGTGACATAAAATTATCCTTACTTGATACTTGAGGAAACAGCGAGGACACTTGAGTTACTTAACAACGTGAGCGTTTACGTGTATAAAATATCTGGATATATCCAATCTAGTGCTTGGGTACTTTAAACGCTAGTTGGATGTTGCACCAATGCCACATGACCCGGACATATCTCGAGTACTCTAGAGGAGTAGACTAGTCGGGTAAGTGTCAATGCTTCATGATCCGGACTTGATCCAGGTGTTAAGGAGATACTGATGCTAGGTGACCCAGGTCTTTCTTAGATGTTGTATGTAAAGAGGGGTGTGAGTTCAGCGATGTTGTATGACCCCGAACTACACCATGATACTTATCGTTTTCTTGAGTGTTGCATTTTCTCATAACTATAATGCATCATGCTTATATGTTGGATGCATGTAGTACAACAAGGTTATTTTATGTGGCACTGAGCTTGTGAGCTCAGCGTATAGAATGTGTTTTTGTGCGTAGGTCAGTCGGTGCCAACTGAGAAGCTCTTCGCCATACTTGGATTCCAGACTCGATTTCTTCAAAGTACATTTCGAGAGTCTTAGAGGGCATGTACTGTCATAGACACTTATTTACATTTTCAGTTGTAACTCTGTATTTCAATTACTAATATTTTTGGACACTTATGTCAGGAGCTCCCCCGTACTAAACACTTATATTTCGTATTTGTCTGATAATTAAATTTTATGGATGATACCTTCATGAAATGTTTAAAAAAATGGTTAGTCACTCACGTGGTTTTGTGTGACATCGTAATTCAATGACATTCAGGTCGGATTGGATTAGGATGTTATAAAAAGTCTATAATATATATAATCTATACATAAAGTTTCAAATTCAAATTACATAATTGAAATAAAATTAATTAGAAATTAAAATAAATAAATAAAATTAAATATCTAATGTTTTGAAGTTAAAATAAATATTTAAAAAAAAATTTAGAATGTTAATGTGAAATAATTTATGAAATTAAGAATTTAAAATGTTATGGTGTCAAATTTAAGATATTAGGATTTTAGAATGTTAGAGTGAAATAATTTGAGAATTATGAAAAAAATTAATATATAATAATAATAATAATAATAATAATAATAATAATAATAATAATAATAATAATAAATCAAATATCGGGTCGGTGGGTACCCGGTTAACCAACATTTTGCGACCTAGGCCAGAACCAGAAACCTAAAAAAAATAGTAGGTCGGGTACCCGACTTGGAAAATTGAGTATTTTTATTATAAATACCCGATATTTTTAACTGGGTAGGCGGTTTGACAGGTCAGGTCAATCATTTTGGGTATTTTTGAACACCCCTATGTGACATGACATGTGATATTATTCGATTTGAGTTATTTATTTTAATTTATTAAAAATATGACTAAAATGAGAGAATATGTAAATAAGAGGAACCAAATGTGTGATTATATCAAAATATTTAACTGTTGTTAACGACAGTTAACTCAGGGTGACCACATATTAATTAAATAAAAATGAGAGTGACCATATTTTAATTAAATAAAAAAAAAAGTGATTGTATCTTATATTTTTTGAAATCAGTGACCATATATATATATATATATATTAAATTTATTTTTAATAGGAGGAATTTGATCCCTCGAGATGGCGAGTTTCATTTGAATTTAAAAATTATAGTTGTTGGTTAAATGTTGGACAAAGGTTTGATTCAAATTGCCATAAACGATTAGTTATGGAAAACTCATCATATCGTGGTGACGAGTTTATCTTAGTATAAATAGACGTTTAGAGTTTATATGTTTGTATTGTGATTTGTTGAGAAGGAAAAAATTCTGTGAGAAAAGAAATTGTGTTTTAAAGAATTTGTGCAAATCATGAATTAGTGGTGTAGACACGTGTTCTTGTCCGAGGATTTTTTTCTTTATAATTTTATTTTGGTTATAGTATTTTATTTTACTTTAATTTTATTATTATATATAATATATAATTTTAAAAAAGTATATAAATATATATATAGTATATAGTATATGGATTTAAATAAATATATAGTATAGTTTAAAAATATAAATATATATATAGTATATAGTTTTAAAAATAGATATATAATATAGTTTTGAATATATATATATATATATACATAGATAAATAATATAGTATACAAGTTTTGAAAATCTATGTAAATATATTATAATATGATATATATATATATATATATTATCATTATTATTATTATTTTTCATTTTATTTATATTATATGTTCAAAAATTGCAGGTTGAGGTCCAAAATCAAGATCGAAGTGGTCCAAGTCCGAATTCCAGGCTGAAGGTAATAGACCAATGGTACGATAGGTGTCCAGGCTCACAAGCCTGACCCAGCAGTGCCAGCCTGGTTGAGGGAGTCCGATTGAGAGATCCAAAAAGTGGCTAAACCCGAGCTGGATCAAGCCCAGCAGATCATGACCAAAAAAAACCTAAAACCCATTAGGGTACGATAGGTGTCCAGGCTCACAAGCCTGACCCAGCAGTGCCAGCCTGGTTGAGGGAGTCCGGTTGAGAGATCCAAAAAGTGGCTAAACCCGAGCTGGATCAAGCCCAGCAGATCATGACCCAAAAAAACCTAAAACCCATTAGGGTTTCTATTTATTATATCCAGCTCCGCCAAGTGATCTAAGCCGTCAGATCTGTTACCAATCTAACGGCCCAGATCGTGAGCAATATGTAGGGTTCCAAACCATAGAAGAATTCCCAGCCGCCGTCACCAGTAAGGAATTCCAGAGGTCTCCACCACCGTCGATCGTTCCACGTCGTCGTCGACCACTTCAGCAAGTTCCCTACGTCAGCGAGAAAGGACAGATCACCACTGGTTGCCTTCTCTCGTACGAGAGAATGAAGGACAAATTGATTTGTCACAGTAGAAATGGCAGAGGCCTTGCGGCCAAATTTGTTTGGGACCATCAGTCCCCACTCGGGACAGAACAGCAGGACGAGTGCCTCCAACAGCCTCGCAGGACAATGCCAGACTGCCGAGAGGAGGGACGAAACTCCCTTGTCATGCGGTGTCCTTCCAGCGTATGCAAACAAAACAAAAAGGGAAAAGGCAAAAACAGAAAATAAGAAGCATCGGGGGAAATATATAGCAACCATCAACAATCAAAAAGAGGGTATCGACAATCTAGAGAACATTAATGAACGAGAGAAAAAAAATCCAGAGAGAAAACGAGCAAGAACACAAGAGTGTGAAACCAAAAAACTCCTCAATCCTCGTTTCTTTCATCATCAACAGATAACATTAACTAGCAAAAAACCAGAGGGATCGAAACCAAAAACTAGAAATAAAAAAATGAGAGAAATTTCTTCTCTTTTATGAGTGAAAAGCCTAACACCGAAGAAAAGGAAAAGAGAACCATGAAAGGCAAAAGCCTTACCTTTCCCGTCGGAAGAGGACCATCATCGTCACCCAGAACTAAAATGCCCGTGAGTCATCAAAGGTAATTGTTTTCAGTCGTTTTTCAGAGTCACTTTTCTTTCTTTGAATTTCGGGTCTTATACAGGGCGATCCAGGGCAATTTGGGTTCTAGTCGAAGCCTTTAGGTGATGGTGGCAATGGTGACCACCGGTTTTAGCAGAAGAAAGAATGAAAAGGAAAAGAGAGCTGAGAGTGTAGGAAAGAACGGTCGGGGTTAGACAATGATGGATGCGACTGTGCGTAGAGAAAAGAAATGTAAAATGGGATTAGGTTTTTTTACCCAAAATAGCTTATATGAGAGCACGCCAAAACGGTGTCGTTCAAGAGGCTTAGGGTTCCAGCCGCGCGTGTGGTTTATTTGGGTTGGAGGTCCCTGTTATTTCTGCTCTAATTCGTTTTGGTCCCGAATCAAGGCATTTCGAAGTTATAATTTAGCCTTTGTATTTCGTGAACGTTTTTTTTATCCCTGGTTTTAGTCAAGTTTTTTTGCTTGTTTATACATTTGGTATGTCATTATGAAGTCTTCCGTTATAATCCTATACATGTTTTGGGGCTTATTCCTGACTTCACTGTTGGTAATTCTATTAATTTACATTTTGGTTCCTTGCATGTTGATATGTCATGACTTATGTTTTGGTGGTTTTCATGTTATATGTATATATGTGTGGTGTAATGAATATTTGTGCGTGTATAGCGAATGCAACATCGTGAGCATTTTCTTTCAATCATAAGGGTCTGTTTGATTGGGGAAAACATTTACGGAAAATGTTTCCCCGTTTCCTGTGTTTGGTTCCCGTAAAACACCAAAGTCAACGTATTTTGTTTTACAGTCAATGGAAAAGGGAGAGGAAAACACGGGAAAATGACTTACCGTTTGGAAAAGGGTAAGTTGTTTTCCATCTTTCTCTCGTCCCTTGCTCCACAACGAGAAGAAGCTTTGTTCTCCCGTCCCTTGCTCCACACCGAAAAATCGATCGATCCAGTGGCCTCCTTCTCACCGGCGAGGCGGGCAGTCGTCTTCTCAGGTATCTCTCTTTTCATCTTCCTTGACCTCCTTTTCTTGATTCATCTTTCTAGACCTCCATTTTTATTTTCACCGACGAGGCTGGTTTTCAGTTCTTCATATTGTTGTTTTAACATTTACATCTGATTATCAAGGTCGGGAATTTACAACCCTAGATTCGAAAATGGAAATCGATGTAGGTAGGAGCGATTTCGAGAAAGATGAAGAGGAAGACGACAACTCAGTTTCTGATCTTTTGAGAGATCGCTTTCGTCTCTCTGCCATCTCTATCGCCGAATACGAAGGTCCGTTTTTCACCCAATTCCGTTTCTTATTTCCGGCTTCTTTTTCTTAAATAAAATATTACAAAATTTCCGTTATGGACTGAATTGAATTTTCAAATCTTCAACTAATTGAAGCAGAGCTAAGAGAAACGGTACGGAGATTTCTCAACCAATTGTAGCTTGCATCGCCGATTTGGCCTTCAAATACATCGATAAATACGCAACATTCTGTTATTTTCTATTTCAGTTTTCCTTTTATGTTATTTCTACTTTCTTATTTTTATTTGAAAACATCTTAATTGTCAAATTCACTGGATTTGGTTTCTATATAATCGTTGTTTTATTGGGTTTAATGGTATAGCTGAATGAATAAATTATTTTGATTTTGTGTCAATTTGCAAAAGCGGCCTCTATTGGAGGTTATCATTGCTATTATATTAAGAACATCTATGAACTTGGTATTAACAACGTCAGAGTTGTTTCTGCATTTGTTGTTTGACATTATTATAAAAAAAACTCCCCTGAACCAATGAACCATTCGGCTGCTTGAGTTGCAGGTCTGCTGGAAAAGGACCTTGAGCTATTTGCACACCACACTGGTCGTAAATCCGTGACCATGGGAGATGTCATAGTTTCTGGTAAGTGTGTCACTAATCTCAAATAATTGATTTATTTCTTCTTTTATGCTTTTATTTTGAGTTAGTGACGTTGACAACCATTATCATCTTCTAAGTAGTGATTTATTTCGAGAGAGAGAGACTTTGCTTCTTTCATATCGATGTGTTACAGTAGTAGATTCATATTTGTTCTGATTTATACAAATATAAAACCTATTCACTTCAATTTCAGCTCATAGAAATAAACATTTTGTTGTCTCGTCGAGGTCCATTTCATATCAACAGGTTAGAAGTAGCCGAATGGTATCAATATGTTGAGGTCTATTTATATCAACAAGTTAGAAGTAGGCAGCTCGTTTTGTTCAGGTCCATTGAAACATAAAATCTATTATCGTCCATTTTCAGCTCATAGAAATGATCATTTACTGCCTCGAGGTACATCTCATATGGACATGTTCAAAGTAGCCAATTTGTATATGTTCATATCCATAGAAACATGAAATCTACTCTCTTCAATTCTCTGCTCATAGAAATGAACGTTTAGCTACTTCTTTGAGGTATGTATCATATTGATCCATATTTTGCTCAGTTCCATTGAAACATAAAATGTGTTCTCTTCCATTTTCTGCTCATAGAAACGAACATTTAGTTGCGTCTGTTGAGGTCCTTCCGCGATGAGCTTAAAGCAAATAAACCCCAATGTGAAAGAAAGAGGAAGAAAGTACCCATAAAAGACGACAAGGCTATTGAAGATATTGTGCATATCCCTGATTTCTGATTCATGATTTTGGATAATTAATCCTATATGCAAATATCGGACATTACAAGTCTTTTACACACTAGAAGCTTACAAAAATATGCAAAACCATGATGAATGGTAATTCAATTTGTAATACAATCTACTTTCACCTTAAATTTTTATAGGTTAAGTTACTTGGTGGATTACTTGTATTACAAGATTGTTAGTTATTAAGATTAGTTCAAATTACTCGTTACTGAGTGAAATGAATTCAAATATATTAGCTCTCTGTTTTTTATAAACCTAAAATACATATTTTTATAAACCCTACATAAAATAAACCTAAAATAGTGTATTTATAACACAATCAACATAAATTATTAATATTATCTAAAATACAAATTTATATAAAATATAATTATTTATAAAAAAATGAACCTTTAAAAATAATAAAGAATAAAACATATCAAATATGTATGCTTTTATTAAAAATAGATTCTGAAAACTGTTTTCAGAAAAATTAACCAAACAGTGTAAAACATTTTACAATGTACCATCCAAACACTGGAAAATGTTTTCTGGAAAATGATTTACATTTCTGTAAAACATTTTACAGAATTCATTTTCCGAAAAATGTTTTCAGTGAAACAAACAGACCCTTAATGACATCTGCTATAGGGTATTTAAGGATAATTATAACCTACATATATTGGCTTAATTAAATCTTGGATATTAGGGATCCTTAACATGTTTATAATTTATATATATGTAAATATGGTTGCAGTTGCGTGTGCATGTATCCTTTCGAATATATTTAGGTTCCTTCATTCATTCAAATATGTGACATTCTTTAGGTTAACTTGCATGATACCTCCACAAGAATTACTCGACCCATATAAAATAATTTGACTAAGGGTAATACCTTTTCGTTTTAAAGTTGACGTGAGGTGGCTGTCTTAACTTATGAGAAAAATATTTCTGACAATTTTAAAACAAGGATGTATCTCGTTAAGTGAAACACTAAAATTTGACCACACCTAAAAATTGAGAACGAGAACAAGAAATGTTCGTCTATTTAAATTCTCTGAGAAAATATCGTTAGAACTTATCTAAGTTATGATCTCGATGTCTTTAAGTAATCGAATATTCTTCTTCTTTCTAAAAGGCTTGGTAATTTTTAATTTAATTTGTTTAATTTTGTGCATTTAAATATTACGATAAAACCGTAATATTTCTTTATTTTGATTGAAGTAAGAATCGATTGTCTCAAGGTATGAGAGGTCGATTTTTCTCTATAGGAAATAATTAAATATTACTCGTTTTCATTCTAACATTCAAGATTTTTTTAAGGGATCATAAATTATATTAAATTCAAACTTGTAAATTTCATTGCAAAGACAATTAATTAATCGACTAGATACCGATGGGGGTGTTAATCCTTCCCCACGCGTAACCGACTCCCGGACTCATTTTTTTGGTATGCAAACCGTAAATTTGTTGTTTTAATTAAAATCAATAGTTTTGTTAAAATGAAAAATATGTTTTTGGGTGCCCAATCACACCCTAATCAAAGATTGGTATTTATTTTATTTAAAGGGAATACCAAATTTTTTGAAACGATAAATTTTTTAAAATCACATTACTTTTTAATTAAAAATTAATCAAAAGATAATTAAAAATGTGTTATTTGAAAATCCAAAAATCATTTCAACAGTTTAGCGACTCCACTAGGACTTTTTTTAGAGAGTCAGGTCGATAGTCGATTAATTAATTGTTTTTGCAAATAAAAGATACAAGTTCATTCTAATTTGGGTTTTGATCCCTTGTTTGGTTTTAAATAAATTTTTGTTTTTCATTTGATTAACCACTAAATAGTTGCACTGACTTGTTTGCTAATGTTTTCAGATTAATTGTGTGTTTTTGGATTTGAGGAATAAGTTTGTGTTATGTATTGTTTTTCGCTTTTACTCACACACTGCACAGTTTCATTATCATAACATGAGCAAAAACCCCGCTCAGTCCAATTTAAGTAGGAGTGGGAAACTGTTCCCTCATGTAGTTTGCACCTCCGTATGGGATAGTGAATCGCTCCTAGAGTTCACGCCTTATGGTTCTCATGATGGTATTCACCTCCGCACGGACATAAGGAGGTGTGTTTCCTCGAATTGAACTCGATCCCAAAAGCTTGTGATGTGCCAGGATTGAGGGTCTGGCAGTCCAAGGGAACACCGACAAGGACAATTCAAGAACCTGTTACTTTAGAGCCGAACCCAACATATAGTAAACATATAAATCCGAGCCTAGTTAGAGCTTGACCTGAGATTTAAAAATCCCGTGAGGAAGAGTACACAAAGAAAAGCTTTTTGAGTTATTTAATTTCGCTTTCTAAATAAATGTATGCTAACTAGAGATCATATGGTTAGGTTTATTTTTATCGAATAAGCATGCGAACTAGATAACTCGAGGTTAGGTTTTTCATGTTCAAACAAAGCATGAGAGTAGATATCATGTTTGAGTAGGATATGCTAAAGCATGATTGGGTAGCCAGTATGTGATGGTAGGATTCATTAACAAATTATTATCTCTGATTAATTTCTTTATGTTTACTAACTGATTTTCTTTTGTCTTTTCCTTATTTCATTCTTGCATTACACTATCCATTCCATGGTGTTGATTCATGATCGATATTCATATAGAAGGCTAGTAATATGGAACGAAGGGTTCAAAAAGAGGTCGAAGACAATACGGATGTTCTAAAATGGTTTGAACAGTCCCAGATGACCAATGAAGATAGTTTGATGCCAGTATACGTGTCAGATTTGGTTGGTTACACCCATATCAATGTATGTCAAAACGATCTGAGCGAGCTAAAAGAGATATGGGGAAGATGGGAAGTAGCTGACAAATAATTGTTCTATCAACTATATGGTGATATCTCTTATCTCTTGGATCTCTCAATTGACCAAAACATGTTTAGAGCTATTGCATAATTCTAGAATCCCGCTTATAGTTGCTTTACTTTTGGAAGAATGGATCTGACGCCCACTATAGAGAAGTATCATGCTTTGATCTGTAATCCGAGGTCCCAAATGGACATAATATACACCAAACCACTAAATACTCATTCTTTTAAAAAGAAATTACTTTTTATGACTGGAATGAGTGAAGAATGGGTCGTTAAAAATATCAAGAAGAAAGGAGACAGTGAGTGTATCACTTGGACTGCTTTGAGAAAAGTAATTGATCGACATCCTAACAAGAGAAAAAAGTTTGAATTGTTTGCTTTAGGGATTTACGGGCTAGTCATTTTTCTAAAGGTGCCAGGGTATGTGGATGTATCAGTTGTTGACTTGTTTGAGAGATTAGACAAGCACGTAGATCATGTTCCACCCATTTTAGCTGAGATATTTCCTTCTTTGAATTCTTGCAGACGAAAAGGAGAATGACGCTTTATAGGATGTGCCCCCTGCTTATAGTATGGATCCTTAGCCACTTCAAGCATGTCGAAATAGAACCAGGACGAGTGTTTCTGGATGGGTTTTTGCCTTTGAAAGATTTCTTTTCCAAAGAGTGGTATGGGTTTCACCGAAGAGAAATGGATGGTATCTTAAAGGATATCAGGGATGGTGACATATTATGGCGAGATTCGTGGAATGTTTCTTCAGATATACTATACATGTGTGGAGAGCGAGATTGAGTTTCTTTGCCAGGTATTTGGGGTTTTATAGGGTATGCACCTATGCTAGTTTCTAGGTAGTAGGGATTTATCTGGGTCATAGTTTGCGTTCAAGGGAGAGCAATACAAGAGTAACGTCAAACGGGTTGCTGATGCATGGAAACAGATTCATCGTGCAAATCTTTTCACCTTTGATATGAAGCTATCTCAGGAATACGAACAATGGAGAAGTAATAGAGTTAATGATAACATCCATATAGTTAATCCCGAGAATGTTCAGCCTATGGAAGAACATATGAGAGCGGTGCCCTCCCCGCTAGAGCTAGCTAAGCGCGACTTCGAGGTGGAAAGAAAGAAATAGAGAGAAACCTTGCAAAAGTTAGAGGATGAAGTATATCAAAAAAGAGGTGGAGATTGATATTCAAAATGGTGGAGCCGATCGAATTGAAAAAGTTTAGAAGCAACTTTGACTGGACTTTGATGATCTTCAATTATTCTACCAGTGAATGATAAAGGCTCAAATGGCTTCTAGCTCAAGTAAATCACCTGCTGAGTGGAGACAAGAAGTGGCAAGCCTAAAGAGAAAAGATAGAGAGAGTAAAGAAGAGCTCAAGCAAAGTAGGCATCAAGTCAAGATTCTATCGAAAGAAAAGAGTGCTTTAGAGCAATGATTACAAGAGAACCGAGCCTAAAATGAGAAGTTGAAATGAAAGATCTCGATTTTAGAGGTTACATTACGATGATACTGAAGCCGGGAAGGTAGCTCGAGCCGTGGAGAGGTTGAAATCTTGAAGAATCGAGTGAACGAGCTTGAGGCTATGGTTCAAGACTTTTAGAGGCAAGCGAATGAACTTCCGATAGTTCCTTATGAGGGGGTTATACAGTGGCATCATCGTTGGGAGTAGGCTCAATCAGAGTTAAACAAAGAGATAACCTCATTGCAAGTTACCTAGAGCATACTCAAGGAATACCTCAATATTTGGTCAACATGTCTCGTGAAGTTGTTCTTGTAAGTGAAGGACTAGAGCCCGAGACTGAAGAAGCCCAGAGGATCCTGGAATTACTTGCACATATTCAACAATTAAGAAAAGTAGTGCAAATCTATCTGTGATATGTTCAAACCTTGTCATCGAACTTCGTTTCTAATATAAAAAGTTGTTAAAAGGAATCGTTACAGGATCGACACCTTGCATTTTGCATATGCATTTTTACTTTTCACAATGCATCGTAATTCTTGCACCTTATTTTTATTCATTCATAGTCATATACTTCATATTTATTAATAAAATATCAACATTAACAAAAGACTGTATGACAGAATACTAGAAACTTCCAAGCATCCATATAACACCAGGAAAAAACG